CGGGAAGTTGTCTTGGATGTTGGGAGTGTCTGCGGGGCTTCTTGGAGGTTGCAATGGTCATCGTAATCGTTGAAATTGAAGGTCTAGGCTTTGGAAGCTCACAGCTGCAAGCCATGATGGCCGGCAACTCTTTGCAAAAGCTTCGCTGTTCAGCAGCGCGATGTTGGCCGTCCTTCCCTTTCTGCAAAGAGCGACTGCCGAGTGTGCCCCTGCTTCGTGAGGCCTGGACCTCCGAAACGATTGCCCTGAGGCATGGAGGGCCGGGATGGGTAACTCAAACCTGAGGCCTCAGCTTGTGCAAGGACCCAGCACCGATGTCGGCAGCCCTGAACCTGGCTCAGTCGAGCTTCGTGAGTTGTAGCCAAATCCAATTTGTATCTCCGCAATCCCATATCCATGGTTTCCAAACTCGCCGGCCGCGCGGTGCTGCTCCTCTTGTGCTTGGTCATCGGCGATGCGGTTCGCCAAACAAGACAGCAGAAGAGTGACGTCGTCAGTGCAGCCCAGGAGTATGAGAAGCAAGAGCACGAGCAAGCGGGCTACGAGCATGTCGAGGAAGGGCATGGCGAGGAGGTTGCTGACTCCAAGCTAGAATGGGGCACACCGGGCTGCGGCTCAACTTATCAGTGTGCTTCTGGCTGCTCGTGTATTGGCGGGACGTGTCACTGTCCTCCTCGCTAGGCTTCGCAACCATGCTGACACAGCAGTTCGCTGCTTTGAGGCAGCTGTACTCACAATCGCAGCCCTCTTGCAGAAAGGAAAAGAGTGGCACCGATTCGCTGGCACCTCGATGTTCTGCGTACGCGTCTGGTTGCACGTGCTACTGCTAGAGTGGGCAAGGGAACCGTGCTTGATTGCTCCGGCTCTTGAGCGAAAGAATGCTGCTGTTTCTTGCGCTGTTGCTGCGGCAGGTGCCTGTACCAGCAGCGGCACACAGTGTCCCCGACAGGCTCACACCTCTGGTGAAGATGGCTTCGTCTACACCGTAGGGAGCCTAGAAGCTTGTCATCTTTGCCTGTGCAGATGCAGTCAATGTAGTCTTCATGCACACCCTCTCTATGTCTCTACGTCTCTTTCTCCCTTGGCTCCTGAGCTGCTTGGCCTTAGCCGAAGCCGAGCGTGAGAGGCTGGCGCAGTGCTGGGCGCTGAAGGCCCGGTGCCCGAAGGTTGTGTCGGCTTGTTGAAAAGAGGTTGTCAGGAGGGGGTTCTAGAGAATACTTTCGGTTTCAAAGTGTGTCTTGAGTTCGGAGTTGGGGGGTTTGGGGCATGGGGTTTTAAGGGCTGTGGGGGTTTCAGGTTAGGGACTTCGCGGGAAGTTGTCTTGGATGTTGGGAGTGTCTGCGGGGCTTCTTGGAGGTTGCAGTGGTCATCGTAATCGTCGAATCAGGGTTGAGGGTTCAGGGTCAAAGCGGTCAAGGGTTCAGGGGCGTAGTGTCTCCTGAAATTGAAGGTCTAGGCTTTGGAAGCTCACAGCTGCAAGCCATGATGGCCGGCAACTCTTTGCAAAAGCTTCGCTGTTCAGCAGCGCGATGTTGGCCGTCCTTCCCTTTCTGCAAAGAGCGACTGCCGAGTGTGCCCCTGCTTCGTGAGGCCTGGACCTCCGAAACGATTGCCCTGAGGCATGGAGGGCCGGGATGGGTAACTCAAACCTGAGGCCTCAGCTTGTGCAAGGACCCAGCACCGATGTCGGCAGCCCTGAACCTGGCTCAGTCGAGCTTCGTGAGCTGTAGCCAAATCCAATTTGTATTTCCGCAATCCCATATCCATGGTTTCCAAACTCGCCGGCCGCGCGGTGCTGCTCCTCTTGTGCTTGGTCATCGGCGATGCGGTTCGCCAAACAAGACAGCAGAAGAGTGACGTCGTCAGTGCAGCCCAGTATGAGAAGCAAGAGCACGAGCAAGCGGGCTACGAGCATGTCGAGGAAAGGCATGGCGAGGAGGTTGCTGACTCCAAGCTAGAATGGGGCACACCGGGCTGCGGCTCAACTTATCAGTGTGCTTCTGGCTGCTCGTGTATTGGCGGAACGTGTCACTGTCCTCCTCGCTAGGCTTCGCAACCATGCTGACACAGCAGTTCGCTGCTCTGAGGCAGCTGTACTCACAATCGCAGCCTTCTCGCAGAAAAGGAAAGAGTGGCACCGATTCGCTGGCACCTGGATGTTCTGCGTACGCGTCTGGTTGCACGTGCTACTGCTAGAGTGCGCAAGGGAACCGTGCTTGATTGCTCCGGCTCTTGAGCGGAAGAATGCTGCGGTTTCTTGCGCTGTTGCTACGGCAGGTGCCTGTACCAGCACCGGCACACAGTGTCCCTGACAGGCTCACACCTCTGGTGAAGATGGCTGCGTCTACACCGTAGGGAGCCTAGAAGCTTGTCATCTTTGCCTGTGCAGATGTAGTCAGCGTAGTCTTCATGCACACCCTCTCTATGTCTCTACGTCTCTTTCTCCCTTGGCTCCTGAGCTGCTTGGCCTTAGCCGAAGCCGAGCGTGAGAGGCTGGCGCAGTGCTGGGCGCCGAAGTCCGGGTGCCCGAAGGGTTGTGTCGGCTTGTTGAAAAGAGGTTGTCAGGCTTCTAGAGAATACTTTCGGTTTCAAAGTGTGTCTTGAGTTCGGAGTTGGGGGGTTTGGGGCATGGGGTTTTAAGGGCTGTGGGGGTTTCAGGTTAGGGACTTCGCGGGAAGTTGTCTTGGATGTTGGGAGTGTCTGCGGGGCTTCTTGGAGGTTGCAATGGTCATCGTAATCGTCGAATCAGGGATGAGGGTTCAGGGTCAAAGCGGTCAAGGGTTCAGGGGCGTAGTGTCTCCTGAAATTGAAGGTCTAGGCTTTGGAAGCTCACAGCTGCAAGCCATGATGGCCGGCAACTCTTTGCAAAAGCTTCGCTGTTCAGCAGCGCGATGGTGGCCGTCCTTCCCTTTCTGCAAAGAGCGACTGCCGAGTGTGCCCCTGCTTCGTGAGGCCTGGACCTCCGAAACGATTGCCCTGAGGCATGGAGGGCCGGGATGGGTAACTCAAACCTGAGGCCTCAGCTTGTGCAAGGACCCAGCACCGATGTCGGCAGCCGTGAACCTGGCTCAGTCGAGCTTCGTGAGTTGTAGCCAAATCCAATTTGTATCTCCGCAATCCCATATCCATGGTTTCCAAACTCGCCGGCCGCGCGGTGCTGCTCCTCTTGTGCCTGGTCGTCGGCGACGCGGTTCGCCAAACAAGACTGCAGAAAGGTGACGTCGTCAGTGCAGCCCAGGAGTATGAGAAGCAAGAGCACGAGCAAGCGGGCTACGAGCATGTCGAGGAAGGGCATGGCGAGGAGGTTGCTGACTCCAAGCTAGAATGGGGCACACCGGGCTGCGGCTCAACTTATCAGTGTGCTTCTGGCTGCTCGTGTATTGGCGGAACGTGTCACTGTCCTCCTCGCTAGGCTTCGCAACCATGCTGACACAGCAGTTCGCTGCTCTGAGGCAGCTGTACTCACAATCGCAGCCTTCTCGCAGAAAAGGAAAGAGTGGCACCGATTCGCTGGCACCTGGATGTTCTGCGTACGCGTCTGGTTGCACGTGCTACTGCTAGAGTGCGCAAGGGAACCGTGCTTGATTGCTCCGGCTCTTGAGCGGTGGGATGCTGCTGTTTCTTGAGCTGTTGCTGCGGCAGGTGCCTGTACCAGCACCGGCACACAGTGTCCCTGACAGGCTCACACCTCTGTTGAAGATGGCTTCGTCTACACCGTAGGGAGCCTAGAAGCTTGTCATCTTGGCCTGTGCAGATGTAGTCAATGTAGTCTTCCTGCACACCCTCTCTATGTCTCCACGTCTCTTTCTCCCTTGGCTCCTGAGCTGCTTGGCCTTAGCCGAAGCCGAGCGTGAGAGGCTGGCGCAGTGCTGGGCGCCGAAGGCTCGGTGCCCGAAGGGTTGTGTCGGCTTGTTGAAAAGAGGTTGTCAGGAGGGGGTTCTAGAGAATACTTTCGGTTTCAAAGTGTGTCTTATGTTCGGAGCCGCGTGGTGCTGGGACTGTCCGTTGCTGCTCTCTCACACGCCATCGGCCTGCAGATCAAAATCTGGAATGGCAGCACTCGATCTTAAATCTCTAGGTGCGCTAATCTAGCGATCCCAAGCGCCTTGTTCAGGGTTTAGGGTTTAGGGTTGCTTTACTTGTCAGCCCAGCCTGCCTTCGAGTTCTCAGCTGAGGATGCAACCGATCGCCGCAGGCTGCATGCTGAGGACACTGACAGCAGGTTTCACCAGGTGCTTGGAAGGGCAGAGGACTTAGTAAGTAGGTTGAAAGTAGGGTTATAATTGGGGTAACTCCATTTAGGGTACTCATAACCCTACTCCAAGTGCATGTACCTGAAGATACTTACTTAGCCCTTTGGAGAACTTTAAACTTCTTGGCTTTATCTATTTGGTCTATCCTAAAAAGTTTGAACTGTTTTTGGGCCTGGTTATTGGAGTGGCCTCAGCCTGTATCAAATATCATCATAACTATAATGATGAAGACGCGGGGTAGCTCTTGCATGCCACCTGCACGTTTCTCCTTCAGCAGGGTGTCCGACGATGCAGAACGCTGACTACGGTGTCTGCAGTCCCAGCTGCACTCCATTTTCTGACGGAGGACAGGGAGACGAAAATAATGTCGGAGAGGGCGCAAGCCAGACACTGAAAACCTAAAGTCGAGCTGTTGACCAATGCACAGGGTTTTTTGCAATGGAGGGAAGCTGCCGTGGCAAAGCCATTGTATTCGCTGACATGGTCTGCGAAGATGTGGAAGCAGAGTTAGCCCGGCCACCCGTTGTAGTTTCGCATGCGCTGCTATGTGCCGCAGCAGCCATTGATTATATAGATTCCAGCGCAACTCGCAAGCATTCTGCCAAGCAGGCGGGGACCATGGTGCTCTGCCCCATGCCTTGCTGTGTGGCGACATCGTTGCAGCATCAAGCCTCATCGGTTCATGTCGTTGTGAGGGCCCAGTCTCCGCTGTTGTGCTCGGTTCGTGTTGGGAGCAGGTCTCTGGCCATGGCGATCCAACTGTTGACCGTGACGGCCCTCTTCTGGCAAGGCAGGACATGCACAAAATGCAGCCTTGTCACGGTCCTCTCTCTGCTCTGTCCAGCCTGCTGCGTGCTAAGGCTTGGCGTGGAAAGTCATTGAAGGGCTCGCGCCTGAGAGAGACCTGCGGAGGTCGGCCTTTGGGGCAGCCTTGTCCTTTTTCATGGACCTTCTTAAATAATTCCTACTAAGGGATATAGGTATAGGGCTCTGTCTATTATTTCTAAAAGGACAAGGGTGCTTGGGGGAGGGGCATCTGCAAGTCCGCTTCTTGGTCTTTCCGAGGTCGTGTGGAACCGGGGACGACGGATGCATCACTAGTACCAACTTCCCGGAGAGCTACCCTCCCGGCGACGCGTGCGTCATCGAAGTTGAGGCTGAGAACAGGCACCGGAGTGCGCGGGCACCGCTCTAGCCGGACCGGTTCTTACCTTTGGTTAGTAGGGAATGAAGGAATGGGTTACAATTATAATAATTATAACTACTATTACTACCATTCTTCCATTCCCTACTAACCAAAGGCAAGGGTTCGGAAGAGGGAGGCGTTTTGTTGGCAGGATGGCCATCGGGGTTGTGGCCTTCTCCTCCGGCCACGGCAAGTTGCGCGTGAACGACGTCCTGTACTCCGGCACCGAGGGGCCGCAGGGCGTCGTGCCGCGTGGATCGATCCTATGGAGCTCCGACGCTCAGCTGCAGCAGAGTGCGGGTTGTGAAGGCGCTGCCCAGAGACTCTAATGTCCCTTAATTAGGGATATATATACCTTAAATCATATAAGGGATCCTACTATAATTTAAAGTCTATTCCTTAATTAAGGGATATTGGAGTCTCTGGGTGAAAGAGGAGAAATCGAGCATGAAGGCACAAGGCCCAGCTCTGCGAGCCGGGGCATCACGGAGAGTCCAAGCCACACTTGGGCCACCCTTTACTTACCTTTGGTTAGTAGGGAATGGAAGAATGGTAGTAATAGTAGTTACAATTGTATCCCATTCCTCCATTCCCTACTACCCCAAGGTAGGTTTACAGTCCTAAACTCAAACCTAAACCTCAACCTAGTAGACCGTGAGGACATCTTCAGTTCCGGCCTGGGCTGGAAGATGTGCTTGGAGGAGGAGGAGGAGGAGGAGGAGGAGGAGGCTGTCCTACCGCGGGCACTGCAGGCCCGGAAAGGGGCTGGATTGTGGCGTTTCCGATGAAGGTCCACAGCCGGCGCTCGCAGGATTTCGTGATATTTCGGGTTCTTGTTTTGGGATGTTGCGGATGCTTGAAATTCGCCGGAACCCTGTGTTGTTTGAGGCTTGGAGGTAGCGGTATGGGCCTCAGCCCGTAGACGTAGGCAGCAGGCTGAGGGGATTTGTTGCTTCGTCCATGTTTCGTTGGTTGTAGGCCCTTGAACAGATGGTGTTCTGAGAGACGTTTTGCCAGAGATCTGAAGGGAGCTGACCGGCAAAGCAAAGCATTGCGGCTCCATGTACCGTTGGATGCTCATACAATGGCTTTGCAAGCAGGGATCGTGATCGGGCTTTCGACGCTCGTGCTCCCAGAAGCAGAGAGCCTAACCAGAGCAGAGCTACTCTAGTGCGAGCCCCAACTGTGTTTGAGGCGAATGGGACCTGGACGCTGTTGAGTGGGCCCAGGTCTTAGTTGCAACGTGGTTGTCGAAAGTCCTGTCTCATCTTCTGCAAGTTGACACGTCCCAGCTTGTTGTTGCGCATCCTCCTGCGTTAGAATCCCGTGCGCCCTCTGGGCTCCGAAGCCTGGGCAAGGAAATCACCCACATTTTGTGTGCCATCTTGACATGCCCTGCAGCTGCCGATGCTTCCCCCCGAGCCGGGGAATCGAAACCAGTCGCACCCTGCTCATACACTTACCTGGTTAGTAGGGCTGCGGCATGGGGGAACCGGGCACAATTACAACTACTATTACTACCATTTTTCCATTCCCTACAAACCAAAGGCAAGTACAGGAGGTGTCGACCGATGCACATCCCCAGGCCGAGGCCCAAATTGCACGAGGCCCAAGGCATGGAGGTACCATTGGCGAATGTGTAGTTTTTTGGCTGTTTCGTGGGTTTTCATAGCCACATCGAAAATGCCATTGCCTCGGATTCAGCCTTATTCCATGTGCGGGAACTTCCGATAACTCAGGACATGCAGGGTCGATGGCGTTTGCGTCAGCAGCTCCAATTTCCCGGAACCGTATCCCGACTTTGACCGGTGCGAAATCGAGGCACCGCCTGTTGATCCGCAGCGGCTCTTGCTGATGGATGTGGTGGAGTTCTCCACGGAAGACGGATACGACTATCTCATGGTGAATGGCGTCCCGTACTCCGGCAACGTGGGACCCCATGAACAAGTGCCAGGAAACATCTCCTGGCATGCGGATGCTCAGAATGCATGATCAAGATCCTGCACTGCTGCCGTACGACCTGGGATGTAGCTGTCGGTTCTTGCATCAGCTGAGGATGACTTTTTTACTGCCAGTGGCTGGAAGATCTGTCTGCGTGAGGCCTGGCCCTCAAGTTTGCCGTTGAATGTCAGCGGCTGCTCCTGTAACAGCCCAGTCGTTTCGCGAGAAGCGAGCTGGACTGTAGACATGCTGACGTGACGACATAACATGGCTCCAGCTCAGCATGCGTTTGCGCGAGGCTCTCCAAATTGACTTTCACGAGTTGTCCTGCAACTTCGAATGGGATACTTGCCTCTGGTTCTCCAGCGCAAACTCCACGTGGCACCGTGTGGCCGGTGAGGTCAACGGTGGGAATTGGGTGCTCGAAGCCACGGGAACTGTGTCGGAAGATCGGACTTTCGTGTTGGAGAGCGTCCGCGTCAATTCCACCAACAGCTCATCCCTGACAGTGTCTTACCAGATGTCCGGGTCAAGCTCCGTGTCCCTCGCGTTGCAGTCCCAAACGGAGGCTAGTGGTTGGACCACCATCTTCTTACGGACGGGTGACAAGGGCCCCTCATGGCATACGAGCTTCGTGGCAGTCCCCGACGGCACCTTCGCCCTGCGACTGCTGGCCAACATCATTGCGGTCGAGGACGTCGTGAGAGTTGACTCACTGTGGGCATGGCATATGGTTTCCTCTGAGGCCAGTTTTGCTTTTTGGAGAAGCTGGGGCTTGTCACGATGGGCCTAAATCCTCTCGTGCCAGGCTTCGAAGTGGACTTTAATCTGGGGGCTCGGCACTCAGAGGGAAACTCCGATATTGCCTGCGATGCTTCTGACAACTCTCACATGAGCTCGATAGATGCCCACCCCGCACCAGATACGTGTTGGTCAGTCTTGGTCCAGGCTGTCCGGAGTCGCCACCCCTGGGCAGTCCACTCGAAGTGTGAATGCTAAAGACCACCTCTAGATTCTAGATACGGTGACCGAGCTGGGTCTCAGTGTCATTGAGTCGCGTTTATTTACGCTCCGTGAAGGCGCCACTCCAGCAATCTCCAGCATGTTGATGTAGAGCTCGTGCGGTGAGCTGTACACACGGAGCGTGGCCATGTTGAATTTGAATCTTGAAAGATGGCCGGGCAGTATGGTTCTGGGTTCTCTCGTTTGCGAGGTCTTGCAAGGTCGACGGCGACTGCATCAGCAGCCCAGATTTCCCTGCTGACATGTGCATCTTCAAAGCACCACCTGTTGATCCGCAGCGACTCTTGATTATGGATGTGGTGGCCTTTTCCACATATCATTCCCACTATCTTGTTGTCAATGGCGTCCCATACTCCGGCGACGTGGGACCGCATGAACAAGTGCCACGAGGAACCATCGCCTGGCACGCAGATGCTCAGAATGCATGATCAAGAACCTGCACAGCTGCAGTACGACCTGGGATGTAGCTGTCGGTTCCTGCATCAGCTGAGGACGGCAGTGTTCCTGCCAGTGGCTGGAACATCTGTCTGCGTGAGGCCTGGCCCTCAAGTTGCCATTGAATGTCAGCGGCTGCTCCCGTAACACCCCCCAGTCGTTTCGCGAGAAGCGGGCTGGACTGTAGACATGCTGACGTCACGACATGACATGGCTCCAGCTCAGCATGCGTTTGCGCGAGGCTCTCCATTTTGACTTTCACGAGTTGTCCTGCAACTTCGAATGGGACACTTGCCTCTGGTTCTCCAGCGCAAACTCCACGTGGCACCGTGTGGCAGGTGAGGTCAACGGTGGGAATTGGGTGCTCGAAGCCACGGGAACTGTGTCGGAAGATCGGACTTTCGTGTTGGAGAGCGTCCGCGTCAATTCCACCAACAGCTCATCCCTGACAGTGTCTTACCAGATGTCCGGGTCAAGCTCCGTGTCCCTCGCGTTGCAGTCCCAAACGGAGGCTAGTGGTTGGACCACCATCTTCTTACGGACGGGTGACAAGGGCCCCTCATGGCATGCGAGCTTCGTGGCAGTCCCCGACGGCACCATCGCCCTGCGACTGCTGGCCAACATCACTGCGGTCGAGGACGTCGTCAGAGTTGGCTCACTGTGGGCATGGCATATGGTTTCCTCTGAGGCCAGTTTTGCTTTTTGGAGAAGCTGGGGCTTGTCACGATGGGCCTAAATCCTCTCGTGCCAGGCTTCGAAGTGGACTTTAATCTGGGGGCTCGGCACTCAGAGGGAAACTCCGATATTGCCTGCGATGCTTCTGACAACTCTCACATGAGCTCGATAGATGCCCACCCCGCACCAGATACGTGTTGGTCAGTCTTGGTCCAGAGCGCACTGCCACAACGTGCCCATTTCTCGGTTTCGGTTGCCTGCTCCAGATCATGCAAATGCGGTGTAACAAGGAGGTCATATGGCAGAAAAGACGGCTCTGTCTGGAGTCGCCACCCCTAGGCAGTCCACTCGAAGTTGGAATGCTAAAGACCACCTCTAGATTCTAGATACGGTGACCGAGCTTGGTGGAGTCGCGTTTCTTTATGCTCCGTGAAGAGGTCACTCCAGCAATCTCCAGCATGTTGATGTAGAGCTCGTGCGGTGAGCTGTACACAGCCATGTTGAGATTGAATCTTGAAAGATGGCCGGGCAGTATGGTTCTGGGTTCTCTCGTTTGCGAGGCCTTGCAAGGTCGACGGCGATTGCATCAGCAGCCCAGATTTCCCTGACATGTACCCGAACAGCCACGAGTGCATCTTCACGGGGCCACCTGTTGATCAGAGGCGGCTCTTAGTTATGGATGTGGTGGAGTTCTCCACGGAAGACGGATACGACTATCTCATGGTGAATGGCGTCCCGTACTCCGGCAACGTGGGACCCCATGAACAAGTGCCAGGAAACATCTCCTGGCATGCGGATGCTCAGAATGCATGATCAAGATCCTGCACTGCTGCCGTACGACCTGGGATGTAGCTGTCGGTTCCTGCATCAGCTGAGGACGCCATTGTTCCTGCCAGTGGCTGGAACATCTGTCTGCGTGAGGCCTGGCCCTCAAGTTGCCATTGAATGTCAGCGACTGCTCCTGTAACAGCCCAGTCGTTTCGCGAGAAGCGAGCTGGACTGTAGACATGCTGACGTGACGACATGACATGGCTCCAGCTCAGCATGCGTTTGCGCGAGGTTCATTTTCAAGATTTGTCCTGCAACTTCGAACGGGATACTTGCCTCTGGTTCTCCAGCGCAAACTCCACGTGGCACCGTGTGGCAGGTGAGGTCAACGGTGGGAATTGGGTGCTCGAAGCCACGGGAACTGTGTCGGAAGATCGGACTTTCGTCTTGGAGAGCGTCCGCGTCAATTCCACCAACAGCTCATCCCTGACAGTCTCTTACCAGATGTCCGGGTCAAGCTCCGTGTCCCTCGCGTTGCAGTCCCAAACGGAGGCTAGTGGTTGGACCACCATCTTCTTACGGACGGGTGACAAGGGCCCCTCATGGCATACGAGCTTCGTGGCAGTCCCCGACGGCACCTTCGCCCTGCGACTGCTGGCCAACATCATTGCGGTCGAGGACGTCGTGAGAGTTGACTCACTGTGGGCATGGCATATGGTTTCCTCTGAGGCCAGTTTTGCTTTTTGGAGAAGCTGGGGCTTGTCACGATGGGCCTAAATCCTCTCGTGCCAGGCTTCGAAGTGGACTTTAATCTGGGGGCTCGGCACTCAGAGGGAAACTCCGATATTGCCTGCGATGCTTCTGACAACTCTCACATGAGCTCGATAGATGCCCACCCCGCACCAGATACGTGTTGGTCAGTCTTGGTCCAGAGCGCACTGCCACAACGTGCCCATTTCTCGGTTTCGGTACCCCTGGGCAGTCCACTCGAAGTTTGAATGCTAAAGACTACCTCTAGATTCTAGATACGGTGACCGAGCTTGGTGGAGTCGCGTTTATTTATGCTCCGTGAAGGCGCCACTCAAGCAATCTCCAGCATGTTGTTGAGATTTGAATCTTGAAAGATGGCCGGGCAGCATGGTTCTGGGTTCTCTCGTTTGCGAGGCCTTGCAAGGTCGACGGCAATTGCATCAGCAGCCCAGATTTCCCTGACATGTACCCGAACAGCCACGAGTGCATCTTCACGGGGCCACCTGTTGATCAGAGGCGGCTCTTGGTAATGGATGTGGTGGAGTTCTCCACGGAAGACGGATACGACGATCTCATGGTGAATGGTGTCCGGTACTCCGGCGATGTGGGACCCCATGAACAAGTGCCACGAGGAACCATCGCCTGGCACGCGGATGCTCAGAATGCATGATCAAGAACCTGCACTGCTGCAGTACGACCTGGGATGTAGCTGTCGGTTCCTGCATCAGCTGAGGACGCCATTGTTCCTGCCAGTGGCTGGAACATCTGTCTGCGTGAGGCCTGGCCCTCAAGTTGCCATTGAATGTCAGCGACTGCTCCTGTAACAGCCCAGTCGTTTCGCGAGAAGCGAGCTGGACTGTAGACATGCTGACGTGACGACATGACATGGCTCCAGCTCAGCATGCGTTTGCGCGAGGTTCATTTTCAAGATTTGTCCTGCAACTTCGAACGGGATACTTGCCTCTGGTTCTCCAGCGCAAACTCCACGTGGCACCGTGTGGCAGGTGAGGTCAACGGTGGGAATTGGGTGCTCGAAGCCACGGGAACTGTGTCGGAAGATCGGACTTTCGTCTTGGAGAGTGTCCGCGTCAATTCCACCAACAGCTCATCCCTGACAGTGTCTTACCAGATGTCCGGGTCAAGCTCCGTGTCCCTGGCATTGCAGTCCCAGGCGGAGGCTAGTGGTTGGACCACCATCTTCTTACGGACGGGTGACAAGGGCCCCTCATGGCATACGAGCTTCGTGGAGGTCCCCGACGGCACCTTCGCCCTGCGGCTGCTGGCCAACATCATTGCGGTCGAGGACGTCGTGAGAGTTGACTCATTGTGGGCATGGCACATGGTTTCCTCTGAGGCCAGTTTTGCTTTTTGGAGAAGCTGGGGCTTGTCACGATGGGCCTAAACCCTCTCGTGCCAGGCTTCGAAGTGGACTTTAATCTGGGGGCTCGGCACTCAGAGGGAAACTCCGATATTGCCTGCGATGCTTCTGACAACTCTCACATGAGCTCGATAGATGCCCACCCCGCACCAGATACGTGTTGGTCAGTCTTGGTCCAGAGCGCACTGCCACAACGTGCCCATTTCTCGGTTTCGGTACCCCTGGGCAGTCCACTCGAAGTTTGAATGCTAAAGACTACCTCTAGATTCTAGATACGGTGACCGAGCTTGGTGGAGTCGCGTTTATTTATGCTCCGTGAAGGCGCCACTCAAGCAATCTCCAGCATGTTGTTGAGATTTGAATCTTGAAAGATGGCCGGGCAGCATGGTTCTGGGTTCTCTCGTTTGCGAGGCCTTGCAAGGTCGACGGCAATTGCATCAGCAGCCCAGATTTCCCTGACATGTACCCGAACAGCCACGAGTGCATCTTCACGGGGCCACCTGTTGATCAGCAGCGGCTCTTGGTAATGGATGTGGTGGAGTTCTCCACGCAATCCGAATACGACTATCTCATGGTGAATGGTGTCCGGTACTCCGGCGATGTGGGACCCCATGAACAAGTGCCACGAGGAACCATCGCCTGGCACGCGGATGCTCAGAATGCATGATCAAGAACCTGCACTGCTGCAGTACGACCTGGGATGTAGCTGTCGGTTCCTGCATCAGCTGAGGACGCCATTGTTCCTGCCAGTGGCTGGAACATCTGTCTGCGTGAGGCCTGGCCCTCAAGTTGCCATTGAATGTCAGCGACTGCTCCTGTAACAGCCCAGTCGTTTCGCGAGAAGCGAGCTGGACTGTAGACATGCTGACGTGACGACATGACATGGCTCCAGCTCAGCATGCGTTTGCGCGAGGTTCATTTTCAAGATTTGTCCTGCAACTTCGAACGGGATACTTGCCTCTGGTTCTCCAGCGCAAACTCCACGTGGCACCGTGTGGCAGGTGAGGTCAACGGTGGGAATTGGGTGCTCGAAGCCACGGGAACTGTGTCGGAAGATCGGACTTTCGTCTTGGAGAGCGCCCGCGTCAATTCCACCAACAGCTCATCCCTGACAGTCTCTTACCAGATGTCCGGGTCAAGCTCCGTGTCCCTGGCATTGCAGTCCCAAACGGAGGCTAGTGGTTGGACCACCATCTTCTTACGGACGGGTGACAAGGGCCCCTCATGGCATACGAGCTTCGTGGCAGTCCCCGACGGCACCATCGCCCTGCGACTGCTGGCCAACATCACTGCGGTCGAGGACGTCGTGAGAATTGACTCACTGTGGGCATCACATATGGCTTCCTCTGAGGCCAGTTTTGCTTTTTGGAGACGCTGGGGCTTGTCACGATGGCCCTAAACCCTCTCGTGCCAGGCTTCGAATTGGACTTTAATCTGGGGGCTCCGCACTCAGAGGGGAACTCCGATATTGCCTGCGATGCTTCTGACAACCCGCACATGAAACTCGATAGATGCCCACCCTGTGCAAGACACGTCTTGGTCAGTCTTGGTCCAGGGCTCACTGCCACAACGTGCCCATTTCTCGGTTTCGGTTGCCTGCTCCAGATCATGCGAATGCGGTGTAACAAGGAGGTCATATGATGTCATATGGCAGAAAAGACGGCGCTGTCCGGAGTCGCCATGCCTGGGCAGTCCACTCGAAGTGTGAATGCTAAAGACCACCTCTAGATTCTAGATACGGTGACCGAGCTTGGTCCGAGTGTCATTGAGTCGCGTTTGTTTATGCTCCGTGAAGGCGCCACTCCAGCAATCTGCAGCATGTTGATGTAGAGCTCGTGCAGTGAGCTGTACACTCGGAACGTGGCCATGTTGAGTTTGAATCTTGAAAGATGGCCGGGCAGCATGGTTCTGGGTTCTCTCGTTTGCGAGGCCTTGCAAGGTCGACGGCGATTGCATCAGCAGCCCAGATTTCCCTGACACGTACCCGAACAGCCACGAGTGCATCTTCACGGGGCCACCTGTTGATCCGCAGCGACTCTTGGTAATGGATGTGGTGGAGTTCTCCACATATCATTCCGACTATCTCACGTACGACTATCTCATGGTGAATGGTGTCCGGTACTCCGGCGATGTAGGACCCCATGAACAAGTGCCACGAGGAACCATCGCCTGGCACGCGGATGCTCAGAATGCATACAAGAACCTGCACTGCTGCAGCCCGACCTGGGATGTACTGTCGGTTCCTGCATTAGCTGAGGACGACATTGGTACTGCCAGTGGCTGGAAGATCTGTTTGCGTGAGGCCTGGCCCTCAAGTTTGCCATTGAATGTCAGCGGCTGCTCCTGTAACACCCCCCAGTGGTTTCGTGAGAAGCGAGCTGGACTGTAGACACGCTGACGTGACGACATGACATGGCTCCAGCTCAGCATGCGTTTGCGCGAGGTTCTCCATGTTGACTTTCACGTGACATGGTTGGCGTAGAACCCATCACCGTTTGCACCGTGTTCTGGGCTGATCGAGGCCAGCTTCCTACAGCTCTCCTGCGACTTCGAGTTGGACACTTGCTTCTGGTTCAGAAGCGGCAACCCTACGTGGCAGTTTGCTGCTGGCCACGCCCACGACGGCAGCATGTCTCTGGAAGCCGCAGGGAACGAGACAGAGCATCGAACTTTCAGTTTGGAGAGCACCCGCTTCAGCGCCACCAGTGGCCAAGGCCTGATTTTCTCGTACCAGATGATGGGATCCAGCTCTGCAGCTGTCGAATTGCAGGCACAGCAAGCAGGCAGTTGGAGGACAATTTTTCAGAAGGCCAGTGACAATCATAGTACATTGTGGCACTCTGAGACAATCACGGTGCCAGACGGCACGGTTGCCCTTCGATTCACGGCCAGTGTTGCTGCCGCAGAGGTCGTGAGACTAGATTCGCTGATGCCCGTTGTAAGATTGTCGGATGTCAGCTGCGGCTTCGACAGAGGTGCATGCGGCTGGTCAGGAGATTTTCAGCGGAGGAAAAGTGACCCATTTCGAGGCTGCTGTGCTAGGGCAGCAACAAACTTTGGTAATTTCACGAGCCCATGGTTTTGGCCCACCACCGGGGCAGCGTATGTGGAGTTCGCTTACAAGATTGTTGACAATTCCGGCAAGGCAGCTCTGCAGCTGTTGTATTTCCGCGGAGAAGTGTGGAGGGTGCGTTGGTGGCGACAGGGCAACAATGCAGCTTGGCAACAGGCGAAAGTAACAGTACCGGTCGGAACCACGATGCTGGCATTTCTGTGCACTTCGACGATTGCAGAGTTCGGCGTGGATGAAGTGGTGGCATGGGAGTCCGAGGGCCAAGCTTCCGACAGTATCTCCCTTTGTTCTGGATCCTATCACAACTGCGCTGCTCACCTCCCAAGCGGGCAGGTCAAGTGCTGGGGCTATGCCGATTCGGGGCAGTTGGGCTACGTCGGCGGTGCCAACATAGGCGACGACCCAAATGAGATGGGCCTCAGGCTCCCACCAGTGGATGTAGGTGGAGGGGCAATTCGGCACGTGGCCTGTGGCAGCTCATTCAACTGTGCAGTCTTCGAAGATGGGAAACTGAAGTGCTGGGGTCAAAGCCAGTACGGGGAGCTCGGTTACGGCTATGGTGTCACGCGGTTGGGAGACCTCCCGGGCGACATGGGAACGAACCTGCCGCCGGTGGATCTGGGCGCCGGTGCATTCGTAGAAAGTGTCGCATGCGGAATGTATCACACCTGTGCACTGCTCGGGGGCGGACACGTCAAATGCTTCGGCCAGTCAACATATCTCGGTCTGGGAGAGATGCCCGCGCCTGAGGTTGTAGTAGGCTGGCAGTTCCGACAGCGAGTGCTCTCTTCCTTTCGCTGCCAGCCTATGATTGGTTGTTGCTGAAGGTCGACCACGGACATGGGCGATGGCCTTCCTCCAGTCGACCTTGGCAAGAACTTCACTGCGACGAAGGTAGTTGCTGGAAGCCAGCATACATGTGCCTTATCCAACTTAGGTGCCGTCAAATGCTGGGGAACAGGTACCGCCGTTGGGCTGGGACTCTCTGACAGCAACGACATCATCGGTGCGCAGCTCACCCAGATGGGGGACAACCTTCCATCGCTGGACCTGGGACTCCGTGCCATCCAGATCTCAGCAGGGTCCTCACACACCTGTGCAGCCGCCTGGCTCAAAGTGAAAGTGTGCATGTGCAAGTGCGTGTAGTGCGGTTTCATCAGACAGGTACTGGAGGATGGGTCTGTCCGATGCTGGGGGCGCAACTCGAATGGCCAGCTCGGCCACGGGGATTCCACGGACCGCCCCTTCGCTGACAGCAGCCTCCCAGCCACATCTCTCGGCTTCGGCATGATAGCGGTCCGCATTGCTGCCGGATACTGGCATACCTGCGCGATCCTCCAGGATGATTCCCTCAAATGCTGGGGTAATGGTTTTTGGGGGCAGCCGGGGCCTCGGAAAATGCATGAAGACGCTCGGGGCTGATGTATGTGCATGTGTGCTTGTGCGATTGCCTCACGCTGATATTTCTTCGATGTCGCGCTGATAGAGAACGTTTCGCGTCCGAGTGGGCTACCAAGGCTCGGGCAGGGCAGCATCACAGACATCGGTGTGGAGGAGTCGCAGATGGGAAACAATCTGCCTCCAGTGGATCTGGCTGAGCACGGAGTGCGGCATGTCTCGGTTGGTTACGGGCACACGTGCGCGCAGCTTGACGATGACAGCATGCGCTGCTGGGGATACAATTGGGGGGGCGAGCTCGGAATTGGCAGCACCGTCACAGTAGGCTTCCAGTCAGGCCAAATGGGCGCAGCGCTGGCTGTTACAGACGTCTTCCACATCACTCCGGGCTCTGCATTGGAGGACTTGCAGATTATTGGTGGCACTGCCACCTCTGGAATTCTCGAGATAAAGTACAATGGCTCCTTGGGGCTCATCTGCGACGACAACTGGAACGAAGCCGCCGCGCGGGTCGCGTGCCGCAGTCTTGGCCTCGGAGGGGGCCGTCCCGCCTTCACAGACACAGACAGCGGCGAGATCCTCGCAGACAACATCATCTGTCAGGGCATCGAGTCCGGCCTGCACGAGTGCCGCTTTCGAGGATGGCGGGTGCACGATTGCACCCCCAAGGAGGCCGCAGGCCGGACGCCTTTGCCCGTTTTGTAGTATGGAAGTCTCATTCTGAGGCTTGTTCGGAAGCATTTTGTGCAGACAGAGCCCGCGCTTGATATTGTGTGCAGGTGTGCAGTGTTCCCTGGATGTCTGGAGCGATTTGCCCTCGGCCGGCCCGCCCGCGCGCCAGGATCATTCCCTGGTTTGGGATGCCGAAGCGCAGTCCGCCGTGGTCTTCGGTGGCCAGGCCGGCAGCACCTTCACGTACTTCGACGACTTGTGGCGCTACAGCTCTTTGCGCACCTGGTCGCAAATTCTCGCGGCGGGACCTGGCCCGGGCCCCAGGTTCGGGCACACGGCCGTCTGGGACGTGCACTCCCGGTCGATGCTGGTGTTCGGCGGCAGGCACCTCGGCAATCCCTTTGCGGAGCTGTGGCGATTCGCCTCGGACCAGGAGTTCTGGGAGTCGCTCTCGCCACCATCTGCGCCACAGGCACGCTCACATCACACCGCCTGTTGGGACGAGTTCAGCGGCACCATGGTGATCCTGGCAGGGGAAGACCTCGACGTGCTCGCAGACATGCACACCTACAGCATCATGCACAACCGCTGGACCGCTTCGACTGCCACCCAAGGCCCGGGACCGCGTGTGCGGCACGCGGCCGTCTGGGATGACACGACCAGAGCGATGCTGGTCTTTGGCGGTTGGGATGGCGCTCACTACCTTGGAGACCTTTGGCACTACAGCGCATGGTCATCCGTCTGGACTGAGCTGGCAGCCAGCAGTGGGCCGCGGCCAAGGGCTGGTCACCGTGCGGCTTGGGATCCCGCGTCCATGAGCTTTCTCGTCTTCGGCGGCGTGACAAACGTTTCAGGCAGTCTGCGCTACGACGATGAGCTCTACAACTTCAGCCTCCTGGCCGGCTGGGCTCACCTCCAAAAGTTCCCGAGGCCCTCCGGGCGCTCCGGCACGGCCCTGGCATGGGATGCCGAGTCGCGCGGTCTCTTGGTCTTCGGAGGCTTCAACTCGACCTACAACAACGACACCTGGCGATACGTCGCCTCTCCAACCGCCGCAGCACGCATCGTCCGGTGCCCTCTTGGGCAGAGCTGTCGAATGAACGACACTTCGGTGGTGAAGCGGTCGTGCACAGACCCGGAGATCATGGAGGGCTCTGCAGCGGGGGATGCAGATGCAGCACATCCCCGCCTGGCGGTCGAGCCTGGCACCTACCATCTCTGCCGCCCGGATGTCGGGGAAGCCGTGGGCCTCTTCATCGCCGAGGGCCCCTTGGCCGACCAGTCCGCAGAGTGCTTCCTGGGCTCGCAGTGCACCGTGGCACCTTGGCAGGGCGTGGGCATCTCCACCAACGACAGCCTCTTCTTGCGGAAGTCTTGTGCCACGGCCGAGTTGTCGGCCCACAGTGGAAACGCGGAGGTGCGGATCGACTTCGAGTCCTCTGCCAACTCCTTCAGCCTGGACCTGGGACGCCTCGATGCAGCGAGCGGTCCCGAAGATGTGGAGCTCTGCTGGTGCCCCGGGAGCCGTTCCTGCGCGGGTTCCGGGGACTTCGCCGTCCTCGCTCTCCGAATGAGCCTTGGGCGTACTTGGAAATAATTTTTACTTTGTGGTTCTGACAATCCCTAAGAAACAGCTAAAATCATAATTTTTGCTAAATTTCTAAGTTCAGTATAGGAGCATCCTGTGCCGACCTGGAGAGTTTCAGGATGAGCTGGAGACGATCTGCCGGAGTTGCCCGGCGGACCGGTTCTGCCCCGGTGGTCGCGCAGTGCTGAGCTGCCCTTCGGGGAGCACGTCCCTGCCTGGGTCCCGCCTGCGCCTCAGTCGCCGATCGCTCTGAAGAGACCGTTGCAAGGCAGGTCGCGTGGAAGCTCGAGCGGTGTGTTGCCGAGGCGACCTTTCTCAGTGCCAGTGCGTGCAGGGACAGTACTGGAGCTCCGGAAGCCAAAGCTGCCTCACCTGTCCCTACGGTTCTACAACTCTGCAGGCGAGCAGCAGTTTATACTGTGCAGAAGGGTGGACCATGTGGGGAAAGCATTCGTGTCTTGTGCTCGGGGGTGAGAGCTGGCAGTGGCCCTGTGCAGGCTGGCGCTACATCGTTGGATTCCTGCACGTGTCTTCCCGATTTCGTGAACACCGATGCCGCGAACCCTGCCGCTTGCGAGTGTGGTCCTGGCATTGGCTTCGATCCGCAGCGAGGAGTTTGCCAGGCTTGTCCCCGGGGGGCCTACAAGGCCAATGCCGGGAACAGACTTTGCTCCGGCTGTCCCGAAGACCAGACCACACTCCAAGAGGCATCGACCTCCGCGTTGGAGTGTCTGTGCCGTGCTGGCTTCAGTCGACCGGAGAATGAGTCGGATGGCAGCTGCATCAACTGCCGGCCCGGGTTCTTCTGCAACGGCACTGGGATAGCCTTCAGTTGCCCGGACGGTGCGACGTCACTGCAAGCAGCAAGGTCTCTGCAAGACTGCTTCTGCGAAGCCGGTCGCTACAAGGATGGGTCCTCTTGCAAGCTCTGTCCCAGCGGGCGTTACAACCCCTTCGGGGGCAACGAAGCCTCGTGCCCTTTGCAGTGTCCGACGAGTTCTTCGAGTGCAAACGGCTCTAGCAGTCTCGAAGATTGCTTCTGCTTGCCGGGCTTCCACGCACAGACCGAAAGTGGCTCCCTGGCCCGGTGTGTGAGCTGCGCAATGCTTGCCACTCTTCGCTGCCCCGGCGGCTTCGAAGGGACTGGCCGTCGCCACCAGCAGCCTCTGGCCAAGCCAGGATTCTTCCAGACAGGTGTGGTCACAGCTTTCAAATGCAACGTGGTCTTGGAGGACGGTCGAAGCACCTGCCTGGGCGGAGGCTTCTGTGCATCTGTCGAAGACGGGAGAGGATGCATGGGGAAGTACGGGAACAGCTGCGAGGAAGGCTCCCTTGGGTTTCTTTGCGGGGAATGCCTGCCGGGATGGGCCAGGACCGAATTCCAAGCGCCATGCCAGCGGTGCCACGAGTCCCCACTGCCTCTCATAGCATCGATTCTCGTGGACGTGGGGAGCAAAGCGGCCATCAGCTTCGCGGTCGCCTCCATGGCAGCAACAGCCGCGGTGCGAGGAAGCAGCAAGCTCCACACGATCATGATCCGAATCACGTCACACTGGCTAGCATCGTGCTCCGTTCTCGCCACCTTCGACTTGAGCCAGATTACTTTTGTATTCTGGGAGGAGCAATCTGCAGACCCCCGTCCAAGTTTTCCGTGGCCGCCAGAGATAACAGCAGCCATGCGCAGCCTCTTCAATGAGATCTCGCTCGCACCGTCCCTTGTCTCTCTGGAGTTTGCCGTCCAGTGCTATGCCCAGGACATATTTCCTCGGGATCCCCTGGCGCCACGAGTTGCTGTGGGCGTGTACTACGTGTGCCTGCCAATTCTGGTCACACTGACGGTGCTGCTTTACTCTTGGCTTGCTGTGCATGCCGTGGTCCCTCTGGCGGCTCGGCACGGCCACTCCTTCAACGAGGCCGGGAAGCAGCGCAAGGCCGTCGAGAAGGGGCAGCAGCAGCTCCGCGAGGCGGTGGAAGAGGCGCTGCGTCATGCAGGCCTCTCCGGCCTTAGCTGGGCAGAGATCCAGAAGTCCGGAGCCACCGACCTCCCGCTATCGGAGCTCAAGCAGGCCGCCAAAGACCCGGATGCCTTCCTCCGCCAGGCCGTGGCTTCGTCTCCCTCCTTGCTGCAAAAAGCCTGCACCTGCAGGGCCGCGTCGCAGGACCTTCAAATCGCAGAGCTCGCGCTGCCGACAGACCTGGCAGCCTTCCTGCGAAGCCAGGCCGCCACCCCAGCCGCAGACCTCGTGTGCATGCTGGACGGCGTCCTCCAGGAAATCCTGCCCAAGCAGCTTGCATCAGACGACCAGGCCGGGCGCACAGCTGCCGGCATGGATTTCAACCGCGCCTTGCAGTTAAACCGGTCCAAGAAAACTGATGTGAGGTATTCAATACTATGGCCTCAGGGATTTGCCAGACAGGTAGAATCTTATCTAAGTGTCTGCAATTTAGTATGAAGACTTCGCGTCCAGCGCATAGTGCCGTGACATTCGCAACGTCGAGATGTGGGTAGCGGCATGAAGCCTGAGCACTGGGTACTTAAAGGATCATGGGACTTAGTAACTAGGGTTATTAAAAGAAGGTAAGCATACTTTTAATTACTTATAACCCCAATTAAGGTACTTATATTATAACCATACTTACTAAGTCCCATGATCCTCTAAAGAAGCGGAATATGAAGCCTGAGCACTGGGCAGGGAGCCAGCACTTCGCAAGTCGTGGTTCACCAGCCTATCAAGGAAGCGCGTGAGACACTGGGCCTTGATTCAGATAGTCAAGCTGACTTAAGGGCATCTACGTAGGGTCTCGCTATGTCTCGCTCTTTTTCAACTGGGGCACGTAGCCTGACTTTGACAGAAGGCGTATGAAGGCATTGTGTGACTGTGGAGTGCAGGACCGAGCTCGTTCCCAGTATTTCCCAGTTGTCGTGTCCATCTTCAGGTCGCTGATGTTAGGTGCGTGGCTTCAGTTGCAAAACATCGAAACGACGCAGCTGCCAGGTAAACTCCTCATGAACAGAGCAGCAGGATATAGCAGGATGAGGCGAAGCAGGAGGAGGAGGAGGAGGAGGAGGAGGAGGAGGAGGAGGAGGAGGAGGAGGGGGCAGCAGCGGCAGAAGCGGCAGCAGCAGCAGCAGCAACGGCAGCAGCAGCAACAGCAGCAGTGGCAGCAGAAGTACTGCAAGTGCCACCACGAACAGTGATACCGTCGCTTCTTCCCAATGTCTGGGCTGTACACCCCGAAGATGGTACTGTAGGAGAAGATTCCTCCTGTGCTGACTAGGAAGCAGACAGTCACCTGAGGCCCGATGTTGAAAGAGATCGGCTTCAAGCACAGGTGACTGTGGAGGACATGGCAGTGGACGAGGCCGCTGGGCTTCTCTTCCCTTCTGACACGCGTTTCTCTGCAAGTCCAGCAGGCACTCCCGCCTCAAGACAGTTCTGGTTGGGGAGCGAAAGCCGGGGGTCAGAAGTTGGGGCAGAACCCCAGCCGTTCCAAGATCGAGGTCATGGGGCATCTCGACTTTGGGCTCTTCGACGCGAAGCCTCGTTTCGCTGAGCTGATGTATCAGTGCGTACCCATCATCTGGATCGCTCTCATCACACTCTGGCCGGGTCTCCTGTCCAGCTTTCTCCGCATGCTGCTGGGCTCACAGTGTTGCAGGGTTTAGAGTTCAGGTGTTTGGAAGTTCGGAAGTGACTACAAGCCAACGGAATCATCAATCAGTGCAGTCTGCCGGCCTGCTTCTTAGCTTGCCGTTGTCGCTTGCTTTGCATTTCGGGATTTTTGATGTGCAGCGGAGGCTGTGGTGCGTGCCCTTCGAAGAGGTTCGCTTTCGACGATTGCAATCCAAAGCGATCTTGTGGGGTCTAGGTCTAGTATTTACAGTGCACCCTTACAGGGACAGCCCGAAGCTTTTTCTGCTGTCTGTCGTTGGGCATCCTAGAAAAGAGATTGCGCAGCCGCGTTGCAACTCCTCTGCGTGCAGTACCATTGTAGAATCCTTGCTCAGCGGTGAAGGGCAAGTCTCAGTATGTCTCAGTCTTGCAGCAATGTGCCACTTGTGCCGAAGGATGATCGAGACGACGTCAGCCGTCTGCTTCCTAACCCGGACGTGGAATGCTGGACCGAGGCTGCAAGACGGACCTCAAGCTGAAGATGGGCTTCCGAAACCCTAAACCCCTAAACCCCTAAACCCCTAAACCCCTAAACCCTAAACCCCAAAACCGTAATCCCTAAGCCCTAAACCCTAAACCCCTAATGCCAGAGGGTTGAAGCTTCTGCTCTGATCCGCCAATCTTAGACTGGAAGTCTCGGCATGTGGTTGAAGCCAGGAATGATCCCCAATAAGAGTTGTAGGAGAAGAGCGCATTTTCTGCAGGCGCACTTTCCCTCCGCTGCACTTGCCATTGGGGGCCTCGTGATTTGGTGGCTAAGTCGCACGCAGGAACGCCTTCACACATTGTCAGTTCCAGGATGTTCCAGGTCAAGTTGCTGCGATCGTGAGCATAGACTGACACGGCAGCACCATGTTCCAAAACCAGTCAAGTGAATCTTACTTTGAGGCTTTCATTCTCAAAGCTTAGAAGGAATGGCCATCTTGGGGTTGCGATGCCTTCCTGTCTCCGAGAAAGATGGCAAGGTGCCTTGGGACACCATTGGCATTGGCCCTCAAGTTGCTGCTTGGCATGCACTTGAACCAAGTGCCGAGATTTTTCAAGTCCGGAGGCAGCGGGACTGCATGTTCTCGAGTCAGTCACATAGCTTCCAAGTCGCAAACCCCGCTGTCTGGAAGACAGCACGCCGCATAAGCAAATGCGGACATGTCAGGGAAATGCGATGTCAGATGTGGCCTTGAAAAGTTGGAACAAGCATAGGTTCAAGCATTGCAAGGTCTGTTGCACTGGTCCTGTTGCAGCTGAAGAGAGCTTAGCAGAAGCAAGCCGTGTCTTGGGATCCTTGTTGCATGATCTCCTGATTGGATTGGCCGCGGAGGTATGTTGGTTGCAGCGAAAAGGAGGATACTTCAGCTGGCGACCAATCGTGTGAAAGCCGAGGCAATCCATGCAAGACCGTCGAGCGCCCAACTCCGACAGGTGGCTGGGAGACACGACGTAGGTTGTACATGAGACGGAAGATTCGACAGGGCACAGCTGTTGCCTTTGCCTTTACACAAGGCAAGGTACTCCGCACAAGGACCCTAAACCCTAAACCGTGTGGAGTTTGGGCAGTTGCCTGTCTCTCGAAGCGCTTACGACAGAGGCGCTACGGCTACTTCTTTCAGGGCCTCGAGCCCAAGTTCTGGTGGTGGGACATCCTCGTGAAGAGGGCCGACGTGGGCATGATGATGCTGGCCGGGGCCCGAGCAAAAGAACTTCACAGAGCCCGAAGAATTCGCAGCAAGGAGCCTGAACCATGAAGCCTGAACCCATCTGACCCTGAAACTCCAAACCCTCATCCCACACTCAAGCTTGAATCAACTGCATGGTGAGCGCCCCGAGCTCCCAGGTCACGTACACCTCCGTGGTGCCCACACCTGTGGCGAAGCTCCTGCTGTTTCCTGTTCTTTCAGGCTTCCAGGCCAGGCCGAGGGGTTCCGGGCTTGGGGCTCAAGGGTTGCTTTGCTGTTCAGGGTTTAGGGTTTAGGGACATTCTCAGAGGGCTTTTAGTTTCGGGCAAGACTCGTCGAACCTCCCTCCGTTGAGCGTGTGAGTGAGTGAGGGTTGTAGGGTGCCGTGGCGGCATCGGAACTTGCATTGAAGACAGCTGGAGGTTGACTTTGAACGCAAATCCAAAACTTCGTGTAGATCATGCCACGCAACTTAGCACCTTTGCAAGCTTAGCTTAGAGACTACGTTCGACTTCTGACACCATGTTTGCTGACCAGCCATGCTTCCTCGATCTTCCTCGTACTGGCGGCATGCATTCCCATTCCAGACTCCGGTAGCCAGCCGGTTGAGCTTGTGAGGCAGGCCTGGCTACGCCCGTAAGCGCTTCTACTGTTCACGCATCACTCCTGCTTGAGCATGGCCTGGAAACTCGCAGTTGCAGACGCCAAGAATGAAGTTTGCAGCACTGACGGTAGCTGACCGTGACAGTCGACAAAGCCAAGAAGCACCTACCACATCAAGGTCCTGAGGCACAGGTCCACAACATCTAAGAGGTGCATGCACTGGTGGCCCAATGGCCCCTGCATGCCGCGCCCACAAATCACAAGTCAAGTTGTTTGTTCGCCTGTCGACAGCAAGCCCGGGCACCCTCAAAGCGATGTGAGAGTTTCTGAACATTAGGGGTACTTTATTTTGAGGTCCTTGTAATAATCTTGTAATAAGGATCCTACTATTTGGGGTACTATGTTAGGGTCCCGTATTTTCGGAAACCCCCAAGTTTTCTAGTGAAACTACAGGGATGGGACTGTCAAGGCAGGTATTCGGCAAGGCCGTATGAGTCGCACGCCCGTCTGATCCAGATATGTCCGTCCTTGAGTCCCTTGTCGCAGCTTTAAGCAAGTTAGTGGGGCTGCCATGCTTGGAATGAAACTTCAAGGCTCATGCGAACCGCTGTTTCTTTTGTGATTCTGTCTAGGCTGCATGTGGGTTCCTCCACCCAGCGACGGCTTGAACTCCTGGAAGTCCGAAGCCGCCAAACCCGAAAGCCTCAAAGCATCACCGTGAGATTGAATACAGCTGCTTGAGCTGCTGGCACATGATGTCCACCAAGACGTGGGCAAGAATGCTCCTGTCAGAATGTGAAAGCCCCAAGCCCACATTATCCTGGAGACTGCACGGAGCCTACAGGCTTGTTTGGCTGCTTGGGTGAAGCCGTACGTGAACGACCAGGCTGGATTACTGGACATGCTGGAGGCGCGATTCCTCAGTGTTTCATTTCCGTACGTGCAACAGCTACGCTTAGTAGGGGCTCGGTTTTCGGTCACCATGCTTTCCTTCACGCCGGATCCCACGCGTATGCAAAACTACAGTGGAAGCTCAAGAGTTCGGACTCCGTCTTGTTTGTCTGTCTGTTTCTGTCTCTGTCTTTGTCTCTCTCTCTCTCTCCCTCTCTCCCTCTCTCTTGTTTCCCTGCCTCCCTTACACTTCTGCGCTGTTTGCCAACATGCTTTGCGAGGTGATTCTGACAGGCATCCGATTTCTGTTGTTCAGCTCCGTGTCTTCACTCTTGGTCATGAACACATCGCCAGAGATCACGCGTGGGTGCCTCGTCCAACGGAGACAAGCGTTGTCTTGTGCCATAGGACCACTGCTTTTCGTGGCGGTGGAATTTTCTTAAATGTGAACAATGCTGCGTGCATAAACACCAAAACTCGGACCCAACAGTCTCAGGACGGCATATCTACTGTTCTTGGTCCTCGTGGTTACGTGCATCTACTTCGTCCTGCACATGGTGGCCCAAGTGCTCCGAGACGCTTCCACGAGAACAGCAGACACCGGCTCGCTAGGCCCTCGGGCTTCAGGGACCTTTGGGGCTCTAGGGTTCCGGACCGGGTTTAGGGTTTAGGGTTCCGGAAGGAGAAGAGATGTCAAATGTCCGGGTATTTTTTCAAGTTAACGGTTCCTGATGGTTTCTTGACTTGAGGGGTGCCTATGTGCATGTTGCGGATTTGTCAACCAGGGGTGTGTTTCGCACGAATACCGCATCTTAACGAGCGAGATTCCTTCCAGACGCATGATTGCTGGGACGACAGCCTGTCGGTACTTACACGATCATGGGACTTAGTGACTTAGTAACTAGGGTTATGAATAAGGTAGGCATACTTATAAATACCTATAACCCCAATTAAGGTACTTAAAACCATACTTACTAAGTCCCCTGCTCCTCTAAGTAGGACCGGCAGGCGGGAGGCGCCGAAGCCTCACCGACAGTTCACCCTGGTAGAGTCCCAGAGACTCCAATATTCCCTAATTAAGGAATATTCCTTAAACTATAGTAGGATCCCGTAGGAATATTCCTTAATTAAGGGATATTGGAGTCTCTGGGGTCGACAACTGCGATCTAACGCGGAGGTGCTTTGAAGCGCTTCTTCATCGAGCTTGCCCTCCCCTTGTTCCAGGACTCTTGTGTAAGGATCGCTGGAAAGGGTGTTCGAACCGTCCTGCATGGAAGTTTTCTGACGAGGCCAGGTTGTCGTCGGAAACTAATGCAGCGAAGACAAATTACTGCAAGCTGCAAGCCGCAGATCAACCTTGCCACCTTGAGCAACCAAGAAGTCGACCAGTTCTGTCTAAACCCTAAACCCTAAACCGTCAGCACAGGAGCCCAAATCCGAGATGTTTCAACTGGCTTGGTCCTTCGATCCTGCTGAGGCCTGGAGTTCCTCGTAGGGTTGAAGTCTACGCCTGAACCCCTGAATCCCGACCATCATCTGGGGCACTAGAGCGTGAACACGTCAACCAGTCTGCACTGCTTGGGGCCCTAGGCTCCTTGCAGAAGATATGTTCATATGTTCCGAAGGTAAGCCATGGTAAGCCGCGAGACTTCCGATTCCGATTGAGAAGTTGACTCGTGCTTTGCAGTAAGAGAGCACACTGGATTTCAACAAAGCCTCCTTCACCTTCCTGCTCAAGCGCCTCGACTGCCTGCCTGCCCAGATCAAAGCCGTCGCACCAAAGGGCCGCACGGCCCGGCTTACATCTTTCGCGACTGCGATGCGCAAGCTTCGCTTCTTGGCCTAAAGTGGGCATTCTCTGCCAGGCTGGTAAGGTCTGGATTGATTCGGAGAGAGAACTTTGTTTTTTCCGGCCCATGGCGCTCTTATTTACATGCCTCTGCAAGCGAGAAGGGTTGCAATGACAAATGCTTTCGAAGTAGATTTCCAGAAACTTTGTGAAGAAATCGCGTTCTGGCTCAGGATTGCGCGCGTGGCAGATTCTTCGATCTTCGCGTGGCGCGGTCCTGCGGTTAGGCACTTCCTTTCAGCACGCAGTGCTCGTGAAGGCAGGAATCGCAGCATGCCGGCTACAAAATCTTATTGTAACTCTAGGACTCTAGGCTTAGGATCACCTCAGTCAAACAGATGTACCCGAATTCCCGAATGTGTGATCACTGCAGAGCCGTGGAGGCCAGCGAGGAGTTCATGGTTCTGTGGCTTCAGCAGCTGGACCAGCCGGATCTTCCTCCGAACAGCCATTTAATCCTGTGTGTCCTCGCGACGACGCAACAGGAGAGCAATTTTTCTGGATGCCCGGCTGTTCATTTGCAATCTGAATTCTGAAGGGGCGTAGCACTTTCATGATGCAGGCATGCATGTAACTGAAACGCAAACCAAGATCAGGAGGACTGCTGCAGACCTCAAAAGTGGAGCTTCTTCGTTCAACCCCCAGCACCCTCACTGCCCCAGTACCCGCCCTGCACGCACCATGCCAGTGCCTAGCTCCCGGCCCAGCCACTACCCGCAGACGACTCCTTGTTCACCACGCCAATATTCCAGATCACTTGTCAAGAGATGCTAGCAGGGTTCTTGCATGATATCTTGAGGTAAGAGTACTTCAGTACATAGGCTTCCCCTGATAAAGCAGACGTACATGTCCCTCTCCCACTGCCTCCACCTACCGTTTCGCATTGTCTTGCATGCGTCCAGCGAGTCGAAATCCAGATTCCTCCCCCCCAGCATAGTAGCCGAGGCCGAAGAGCATTTTGTTTGGCCTGAACGGTCGTGAACAGCTATATCACTGCTATATCGTGCCCGATTCGCATCAAGGGTAATCCTTCTTGTCGACGCTGAAGACTGCAGGACGTTTTGTCGATTTTGCCCCAGCTTCTTCTGCTTTTTGTTCGCGTAAGCATCGTGATGGCAAGGTGCTCCATCCCTTCACCAGCGTTCTCAAAGAGGGCCTCGCACGCTCGTTCATCACCTCCATCTCTGCAGCAAGCTCTATGTGTTCGGGCTCTGCCCCTTCATCATCAGCAAAACCGATCTCACTCTGAATCATCGTAACGTTCATCGTCATGGTCATCATCATGTTAATATTCCGGAGATGAGCGTTAAGATCCACTTAAAGCACTGTACAGTATGGCTGCAAGCCCGACCATACAGGTGCCCTTCGTTTATTCGCTCTTGATGCGTCCGGCCGTGTCCTTGAACAATTCCTTGTCAAAGTGGCCGCGGTAGGAGAACAGCACTGCTGCCTCCGCAATATTCTCCCAAAATCGAACGTGCCCCATCATGAGGGGCTTTGTCTCACTCATCATGGGAATCTTGTGAACCTATCTCACTTCAAAACTGTTGTGCCCGCGGAAGCCGAGAAGGCTTCATGGGCTCCACATGCTAATCAACTTGATCACCTGGTCCGAATCGGCATTCAACGGCTGGCCCTCTGACCACAAAATCCTCCTCAAAAACTTGCTCTCTGGCCTCTTACTGCTCCCAGCTTGCATCGTTTATTCTGTGTCAAGGTGGACCAAGTGTTGTCAATCTTAAGCACCGTGACGGGCAACATCGCAACAGCAACCGAATGCACATGAGAAGACACAGACCCTCGTTGACTCGCAGACGCCCCGCCCCGATCCCCTGGCTGTTTCGGCACATTCGCTCATGCAGGCACTGCCGGCACGCAGGAAGGGAGGCAGGAATACAGGCACGCAGGCACGATCGCTCGGGCAGACACTGGTCTACATGCATGCCACCCTTGCAAAAGGATGGCATTCCGTCCACGTTCGACCCGTGCTGACCCCCAATCTGCAAGCTTTCAACTGTAGCTTTGCGATCGCAGGCTCTGCCGCCACTCATTGCAAAAAGCAAAATGGCCGCTTTGTGGAAGCAGCAGGCGCCAACGTCCAGTTCCGTAGCCTCATGGTCCGAGTAGCTTGTTGGTGGGAGCCGACAGAAGAACGAGCCTTTGATGTTCATGGCAGCATGACGCCAGAAACACAGCCTTCCAGGTGGATGCCTTGTTTGCACGTGAGGGGCCCTTCGTCTGCGGCCCAGAGGCAGCGGGTTCAAACGGGGTTCAGAGATGTTCAGAGCATCCGGAGCGATGTCAGCCTGAACCCTGAGGACGTGTCGCGCTCCATCTGGCGCCTGGGCAAGCTAGCCGGCGAGGATGCGGTTTCACTGGTCCGCGACGTGATGGAGGTTTTGGAGCAGAAGGCGAAAGCCAGGCACTCCGGCGCTCGCAAAAAGCTTCGGACAGGGACCCGAGCCCGTTCGGCTCCCACGGGGGCCTCGGAGCCGACGGCAACGACCGGAGTCCGCCGGGTCCGTCGGCCGCGTGCCAAAAGAGCCGCGGCCACAGCGGCGGCGTTGGCGGCTCAGGAAGAGCCTTTGGCCTGAGGCCTTCCGGCAATCTCCGGCACTTCCAGGGCGAGAATTCTTCGTAGTGGGCTTTTAGCAGGAAGAAGGCTGACATGCAGGTCTTGTTGTTGTGAACAATCTCGAAGGAGCCGTGTTCCGTCGTGTTCCTCTCAGGTAGTAAGTAGAATAGTAGAAGATAGTAAGTTGTACGAGGTAAGTCGGAAGTCGCAAGTCGTAAGTCGCAAGTCGTATGTGGTAGTCTGTAAGTCGCAAGTCGTATGTGTAAGTAGTAAGTCGTAAGTAGTAAGTAGTATATAAGTGGTAAGTGGTAAGTAGTGAGTAGTCAGTAGTAAGTAATAAGTAGTAAGTAGTAAGTGATAAGTAAGAATCAACAAGTAATAAGTATTAAGTAATAAGGAATAAGGAACGATCAATAAGGAATAAGGAATAGGGAATAAATAACAAATAATATGTAATAAGTAGGTAGTAGTTAGCAGTGAGCAGCTAGCAGTTAGTAGTTAGTACTTAGTACTTAGTACTTAGTAGTTAATAGTTAGTAGTAAGTAGTGCGTCCTGCATAGCGTGTTATAAGTAGTAAGTAGTACGTAATACATAGAATGTAGTATGTAGTACGTTGAAAAAGTAAGTAGGAAGTAGGAAGTAGGAAGGGGAAGTAGCAAGTAGCAAGTCGCAGGTAGCTAGTAGTGAGTAGCAAGTAGTGGTAAGAAGTAGTGAGCAGCAGTGAGTAGTGTAAGTAAGTAGTGGCAGTAATTTTCACACAAGGCCAGTAAAGCCCCTTATTTGGGGTGGACCTGGGGTTGCCTTTCTACTTTCTTCAGGCCTGTCGGTAAAGCGCAAGGTTTTGCACAAGCTTCGTATTGCAAGGTCCTTTTTTCAACAATTTGTTTTCCTTGCTTTTACACCCCTGAAGCGATGACACAGGTTGTGGAGCTTTCCAAAAAAATCGCGCAGGGTGGCTGTCCGGACGACAGGGGCAGCTACACTTGTGACCATGCTGTTATTTCAGGGACCCTAGCTCGGTTTGCAGGCCCAACCGCGGCCCGTCTGTTCCGGAGAGGCCCACTCCTCGCAGGACGCGCTTTCCAGCAACTGTAACCTCGTCACCGTCCTGCACCTTGTTTCCCATGATGCTCCTGCTTGAGATCTCCACATGTCGCCACTGTGCTGACGGTTTCTTTCTGTGTTGTCTGGTGGACCCAGAATTGGGTCCAGTAAACAGGAGAAAATTACAACACAGTTGTTGAGTTCGGAATATGGAGCATGTCTAGTTTTGGATTTCATGGGAGGTGTCAAGAGGTGGGGTGTTATTGAAGCTGTTAACGTACCGGTCTTGCCAAGACTTGCAAAGGGACTGCAGATTGACTGGGAACTGTTGCAACTGTAGCAGGAAAAGTAGCAGCGATAGCAGCAGTAATAGTATGTTGCAGTGATAGCAGTAACAGCAGTTGCAGCAGCAACAATAGCAGAAGCAGTAGCAACGGTACAAAGAAAGAACCAAGGGTCCGATTTTGGAAAAGGGGGAAGGTGCTAGAAGGCTGGAGTGCTTGAAATTCGGTCTGCATGCGCCGCCGGCCGCGTGAACTCCGCGCGTGCCGCTGGCTTCTGTACGATCAGAGCCACTGGACCGTGCTTGAAGACTGGTACGGCTTGAAATGCCGTGTCCGGCACTTGAGCTGAAAAAGTTTTTCATGCTAGCGGTTCTTGACAAGGGTTTCAGACTGGAACAGTCGCGAATGAGAAAGCAGCAAACATTGACAAAGGTCGCTCGAACCCGCTCTAAAGTTCCGGACCTGAAACCCCATGCATTATGCCATCTGGAAACTTGTGGGGCTGTAGTTTGGGGTGGGACGTTGCATGCAGAGATTTGAAGGCTTGCAGGTTGTCGAGGAAAGTTCAGCAAGGGTCCTGTGTTGCAAGACCGTACACCGCTCATATTCAGGCTCGGCGGTGCCGCCTCGGATCCTGCCACGGGTCAGGGCGTGGCATGTTAAGGTTTATCAATGGCTGTCCATATGTGAGCAAGTTGCCATCAATGACCTTGACACTCAAGACCTTCTGTTGATACACGCATGAATGCTTGAAGGGTCTTGCAGCGTGCACGTTCTGTGCCAGCTTTGATTGGCTTGAAGCTAAAGCCTAAACCTTGAGGGTGCAGACGCGAAGTCATGCAGCAATGCTTCGTGATGGTGCTTCTGGTGCAGGCAGGGCTGGTATCTGAAGCAGGTGGGTCGGAAGCGGGTCGCCTGGTGGCCGTCTGCGTGGCTGGTGCTATTCAGAGCCTTAGTAGCTAAGTGAGTACCCTTTACACGTTTTGGGATATGAAAGCATCCCTTATAGAACTGAAAGTTTCTAGTTTAAGGACTAATGACCTCAAAAATTAAGGAGCGGTGACCAAGTTTTTCGCTCTGACTGGGAGTCTCTGCGATCCCTGCATGGGGTTTCAGTGCTGCATCTTTTTGACCGCTTCGTGCTGGAGCCTCTGGATGCTGATGCTAGGTCCACCAGTGATACTTCATGCCGTTTTTCTTTTTAGATGTGCCCTTGTTTAATTTGAACAATGCTTGCACGAAGTAGTTTATGCCTTTAGACAAACCCTAAACCTTGTTTGTAAACACCTTGAACCCTAGGGATCTTGGGGAACCAAGGATGCGCTCTTCTTCCTGTCACACCCTTCTGGCTACGTGGCATCGGCGGACTTTCAGGAGCCCGGGTTCGGGCTGGAGTCGACCCTAAGCCTTCAACCCTCATCCCCCAATATGGGAGTTTCCGAAAAGTAGGGGTACCTTCTTCTGGGGTCCTTATAACAAGGATCCTACTATTTAGGGTACTATAGTAGGGTCCCCTATTTTCGAAACCCCCATATGTTCCGAAACTTTAATTTTGCCGTCGTGTCGGTGCGCTGGAGACAAGTGTGCAGAACGCCAAAGTATGCTTGAAATGTCGAACCCGCAAAGAACCCTTTCAGTAACTTAATAAGAGCCTTTCAACACTTTCCTGAAGCCCAAAGCCCAAGAGCCTTGCTTGTGATCCGTAAACCCTAACCCAAACCCCCCACCCTCAACCCTAAAGCCTAAGCTCCAAACCCCGCTTGGAGGTTCATGGGACTTAGTAAGTACAGTTATAAGTACCTTAACTGGGGTTATAACATGTTATAACCAATTATAAGTACAGTTACCTTGTTGATAACTACAGTTACTAAGTCCCATGAACCTCTCACCCTAAACCCTTAAAGGGAACCCTATTCTAGGAACCCTATAGTACCTTTCCCTTTAAAGGGGCCCTTGTAACCCTACTAAGTCCCATGAAGGTCCCTGGAGACTGGACCCAAACCCTAAACCCTAGACCCTAGACCCTAAATCCAGTTTTCTTTAAGTTTTTTCTTTCAAATCGCTAAACCCACCCTAAACCCTAAACCCTAAACCCTAAACCCTAAACCCTAAACCCTAAACCCTAAACCGAAACCCCACACCTTTCCGAGACTGGACCAGGCCTACCTGGTCTCCTCGCCTAGAGTCCGGTTGCTGAAGACTGACAACCAGACGGGGAGCGCAGGTAGGGTTTAGGGTTTTAGGGTTTTAGGGTTTTAGGGTTTTAGGGTTTTAGGGTTTTAGGGTTTTGGGGTTTAGGGTTTTAGGGTTTCGGGTTTAGGGTTTTGGGGTTTTGGGGTTTAGGCTTTAGGGTTGAGGGTCCAGGGCTTGTTTTTTCAGGGTTGTGAGGTTTCCGGATCCGGAGTTTCAGGGTTTGATGTTTTTTCCGGGTTAGAGGTTTCCGGGCCCTAGGGGCCTACTTTATGTGTGCATCTTTTTAAAGTGTACTGGGGTCCTTATGATAGTGATCCTGTCTCAAATGAGTTAGAGTTTCTATTCGGGCTGTTATGCGAGGGTAGCACTATGTTGTGCAGGTTGGCTTGGACACCTTCACCGAGGGCACGCGGAGAACAAATCGTACTTACCATACCTTCTACAAGGCCGTGCCAAGCGTGGGCGGCCCTTCAAGAATCAGCCTATGAATCGTCAATGGGCTCATTGCATGCAGGCACTTCGTGACATTGAAAGCATTTGGACTTACTTGGCAACTGTTTTAGGCCGGGTGTTTTGTATCTGCTGCTGTCCGTCTCGCAGCTGAGCTTCTTGATGTCGCTGCAGGGTTTTTTGCTTTTGTGGTCGAGTTATTTTCCATTACCTTCTTGATGTTGATATCAATACCTGTGACCCCAAACCCTACAAAACAGTAGGTTATGACCCCTCAATTGGAGGGTAGAACCCTTGAAGTTGTAGGTTTTCGGATCCACAGGTATGAACCAATGATTCTAGTGTCTATGGTACCTGGTACCGTTGCTCGCAGTATTTCGTCTCCTGGGACCCTTAGAGTCTCGAGGCAAAAGGGGCTTTCAGTATGACTATGTCGCGTTCACTCGCGTGGATCACGCCTGGACAGCTTCACATCCGAGCGCGTCCCTGTTGAATGCGAGCAGGTCGGGAAATCGCAGTCCATCATGGCTTAGACTTTGATTATTCAGCTTGTTTCGGGTACCGGATTTCGCTCCAATTCGGTCCGAAAGAGTACTGCGAACTTACGGAGCCGATCCCAAAACAAAGGCTCTTCAATCATCCTTCTTGTGCCGCAGGATGCTGCATTGCAAGCAGTGGGGGTGTCAAGCCCCAGAAACTTTAAGCCTCAAGCCGTACACCCTAAACCCTAAACCCCTAAACCCCTAAACCCCTAAACCCTAAACCCCTAAACCCTAAAACCCTAAACCTTAAACCCCTAGACCCGAAAACCCTGAATGAGCAACTTTCAGGTGCACCGACCGCCCCACGGTCTGGTCCCTCGATGCTCATGAGTACTCAGGGATCAACGACCGATATTTCATCATGGAGAGGGCTGGGGCGCCAGTGATGGAAGCCTTCGTGGAGACCCTGAACCTGGGTTCTTGTTAAGGGGTTTAGTTCAAGTTACCAAAGCCCTATAGTTTACTGTAGCTCCCTATTATGGGAACTTAACTGAAATCTACTGTA